GTTGACTGTGGAGCCAAGCAAACTGAAGCTCTGAACACTCTCAATCTCTTCATCATCCATCCTGACGCTGCCAATTGGTCCAGTGGCGAGAATCTTTGTCTTCTTGACGTTGAGCCTTAGTCCATACTGAAGGCTGCAGTGTGACCAAAATCTGTGAGGCAAATCCCCGCAGGCTTTTCTTCCAAGGAACACTCTGGCTAGTGAATTCGAGTGGGCTTCAGGCCTTTTGTTCAAAGGGTCACTATGAGTCATGCTTGACTAGAAAGCAATCAACAACAACAATCTGTCTATCATATCTCTCTGTCGACCTACTATCTATCTATCTATCTATCTATCTATCTATCTATGATTTGGTGGTAAGGAACTGAGATACCAATGCAAAGGTATGTGGTTTGCATTCAGCAGCAGCTCAGTGGGAGAAAGATGGGTAATTTCTTCCTGTGTGATTTAGTGCTGCTGAAAAACCCACTGCAGAGTCCGCTATTATATGTCAGATCTGACTTAATGGTATACAACCACAAGAACAATAACACAATAACACACACACACACACACACACACACACACACACACACTGTTACACAGGCCCTGTTATCATTATAATCAAACAAACTGAGAAGCCAGGTTTTATTTACTCATTCATTTGGTAAACTTTTTGAGGGCCACCCAAGCACACAATTCCAAGTGCTGATGCTACAAAATAATAGTAGGCACAATTCTGTTTTCAAAGCACTGACAGTTTAGTAGAGAAAATTTAATCGATAATTACAGTATAATATGCTATAGTACACTCTACAGCAGACTGAGGAGAGAGTTCATAGAAAATAGAGAACCCCTGAGTCTTTGCTTTAAGCAGTTATGAAATGGATGAACTCAGCCTCTGCCTACGTGTGATATTGACATCTAATGAATAGAGGCTGAGTGTACAAATTAACACAGATAACTAACCTGAATATTTAAGCCCTTCTGCAGTGCACCATTTACTGACAGAGAATGATTTATCAGAAGTCAATGTCGTTTGTCTAAACAAAAAATCTTTAGAATCCTGTTTGCAAATTACATCCTGTGGGCCATTTATAAGTGTCATGTAAAACACTTAGCAAGTAATACAAAAGCTAATTCTGAGACTTTGGGGAAATCACATTTGTGCATGTATTTTTTCCCCCCACCTCTGCAATTTCCTTAGTATCTCTATTCTTCTAAGGCAAACTAAAAAGCTGTATGAGGAAATAATAAAGTAAAAAACCTCATTGTCACTGAATTGTTTCCAACTCATAGCTGACTCTACACTGGGTCTCAAAGGGTGTACATGGCAATGGGAGGAGATTGCTCACCTTCTTCTGATGCAGACACTGGTTGATTTGAATGACTAGAGATTATCAGCCTTTGGGTTAGAAGTACAGCTGGCTACATAATCCACCAGAGCTCCCCAATACAACAGAAAGCTTCTCCCAAGTCCTTCTTTCACAGATCATGCTGCAGAACTAATTTTCCCCAGAATATGTGTTGGGAAATGCTGTCTAGAGTATTTAGTATGTCTGGTCTTTTTACCAATATATTGGATGTATCACTGCAGCAGATAAATACATATCAGAGGTGTAGAGGAAGACTCTATACTCCTTGCATTTAAAAGAGAAATTGCCCTTACAGACTTGAATCACAGTATGTTTGATCCTTTAGTCCTCTAGCTATGGAGGCTATGATCTTTTCAGTCACTCGCTAGTCATTTAAGAGCTGGAAAGTGAATAAGAGTGACAGAGGAAGAATTGATGTCTTTGAACTGTGGTGTTGGAGAAGAATGCTGAATGGCCCACGAGCTTCCAAAAGGACAAACAGATACCTACATCTTGGAGGAGCAGCCAGAGTGCTCCTTGGAGGCAGAGATGACAAAGCTTCATCTCATACACTTTGGGCATGTTGTTAGTCCTTGGAGATGGACACCGTGCTTGGAAAAGTAGGTGAAGGAGAGGAAGATCTCAACCAAAGGGATTGACTGTAGCAATGGGCTTGAGTATGTCAGAGATTGTGAGGATAGAAAAGGGTGGGGTAGTTCAGATCCACTGTCCATAGGGTCATTATAAGCAGTATTCAATACAATGGCACCTGACAACAGTCTCTTCCATTATCATGACTATTATTTAACCAAAACTTACAGACCCAAGAATGCCAGCATACCTATACCCTCAGCATTGTCTTCACTACTCTTGCTCACTCACACTGTATGTAAGAAGAATGGAATAAATCAGAAGATAAGCTGATGTTCCACTTTATTCCTTTATCTCAATATTATGGACTATGTCCAAGAGTCTAACATATATTATATGAGTCTCTTAGAGTTTGTTTGTTTCTAGTCTGCTTGGGATCACGTATCTTAGCCAGTTACTCTCATCCTCAAGGGTATTAAGCATAGAGCAATGGTCCCTCAGGTTTACAAGGTGAGACTCTTTCAGAATCAGACTGTCCGGCATTTTTATGAGGTGAATCAGGGTAGATTCGAGCCACCAATCTTTTGAGTAACGATTATGCCTACCAGGGACCCCATGCATCAAAAAGCAAAGTATTTCCTGCTACCTACAGTCACACTAGTATTTACTGCAAATGAGCAACTTGGATAAGCTCTACACAGTACGGAATCTGACTGTCCTCTGATTTTTCCCTAAGTCTCCCACGTGACCTAACAAATCTCAAAGAAGTCCATTTGAGGGACCCCAGAGACGTCTTTACTTGTATTTCCATTTTCCTTGATGTGTAACACAAGGAAACTTGTAGGAGACTTGGTGGCGCAGTGAGTTAAGGGTTGGGCTACACAATTAAAGGTTGAAGGTTTGAACCCAATAACTCCACCGGGAAAAGGATGAGACAGTACTCGTCTGTAAGGCTTTGCAGGTTCAGAATCCTTGTGAGTCATTCCGACTCCACCCTATTCAAAACATTCTAAGGAGAATTCCATGCGAAGGCTGTGGGGAGTGAAACGTAATGGCTAAGGAAAATGCAGGACCACCTGTACTCACAGCTCAGTGACGTCCCGAGGAATGCCTTTTGGCAGCATCTTCAAGCCCTTGTTGCTGCATCGGACCACGGAATCCAAGCAGGTGCACTCCACGGGGCAGCCAGAGAGAGGGAGACAGCTGTTGTCATCATTTCCTAAGTTGTCAAAGGAAACGGAGGAAAAGCAGAGACTGTGAACTCAAAGAGGTGAGCAGGAATCCCATGCCTTTAATTAAACTTAAAGACGAGAGTCCTGAGACACCTAGTCACAGAGGCATTCATAAGGCATTACATTAAGTATTCACAAGTTGCCGCGTGCATTTTACACAGCACTGCTTTATGAATGCTTACAATGGAATTTCAGTAAATAGTTCACAAGGTGTATTACCACCGCAGAAATCATAGTTATTGGCTTTGTTTACTGAGGTCTGATGATTTTATTAAAAGATGCATTATTTTTTTGTACAAAAGTATAAATGATACGTAGAGAGCTCTGGTGGCTTGGTGGTAAGGAATTGTGTGGCCAGCTCAAAGGTATACTGTTCAAATCCACCAGATACTCCCCAGGAGAAGGAGAAAGATGGGCAATTCCTCCTGTGGTTTTATAATGCCTCAGAAAACTTGCTGGAGGGTCAGCTATGAGTTGGTACCAATTCAACAATAACAACAATAATGACAACAACAAAACAACATAAAGGATACTGTTAATTAGAATAGATGTGATAATTAAATAAAGGGAATTAAGGTGAACTTATAAGGAAGGTGGCATGAAGATATCTAAAAGAGGTAACTATTTTAATTGTAGGGTTTAATTGATGTCTCTAGTGCCTGGAAATCATAGTAAAACCTGCCTTGCATTCCTTACAAAGCAAGAGAGAGAATCAAATGTGAGGACACACTGTTGTTAGAGGAGTAGCTGGTATTCTTAGTTCCCATTCAGCTTATGGTGACTGATGATCGACACAGTGACTGAAACAATGAATGGACAACAGAGGGGAGCTCTGGTAGCTTATTGGTAAGGACCTGTGCTGTAATCACAAAGGCACACAGTTCGAATCCACCATCTGCTGCTTCTCCAGTGGAAGAGAGATGGGCAATCTCCTCCCATGTAATTAATTCTCTCTGAAAACTCCCTTGAGGTTCAGCTTGGGGTTGGTTCAGACTTGATGGCACACAACAACAAGAAGCACAACAGAGACTGTGTGTACAGTGAGGGACTGCCAAGTACTTTGTTTTTCTGTACACAAGAGTTACTGGGAGTCAGGGCTGATCAATAGCACCTGTCAACGGCTACCTCATGTGTAAAAGAACACGTGGCTGGCTCCTGCACTGCGGAGCTCATTGGAACTGTCTGAGCACATTGTTATAGCCAGTCTAGAATGTCTTCCCACCCAGGAGACGCTCCTTCCAGCTAGATCAACTATATCAGATTCGGTTGTCATCCACACTCTTTCACTGGCTAATTTTGGTCTTTCTTCCTGGTTGGTCTTAGTGTGGAAGCTCCACCGAAATGTGCCCACCATGGTTGATGTTGTTGGTCCGTGAAATGCCTAGAGCATAGCTTCAAGCATCCCAGCAGCCCACATGTACCACAGCATGGCAGGCTACAGGTGATCTGTGGTGGTGATATGGGGGGGATATCTCAGTCACAAAAGGACAAATACTTCATAGTGTCACTGTTGTAAAACAGGACTGACATTGGGATTGGGGGGAGACTGAAAAAGAGGGGATAAATTATGTATACTGCATTGAAACAGATGAGGAATAGAACTGCTTAAAAGGGATATTGTTATTGTTGTTGTTATGTGCTGTCGAGTCACCTGCGACTCATAGCGACCCTATGTACAACAGCCCTAGTTATTATTGTCATGACAGGAGTCCAGAACAAAGGCTGCATAGTGGAGTGAACTTGGGGGGGAGGGGTTTATAACAATGAAAGAATTTTTCTTTTACTTTTCAAAGAGAAGAGTGAACTAGGGGGGAGGGGTGGGCAGGGAGAAAACTGCAACAATGAATGAATGGAAATCCAAGGTCTCTGTATGTTTTCATTAAAATGAATTTTTTTAAAAAGTGAAAACTATTGACTGAAAACTCGCTGGCTGGTCAACTATAGGTCAGTTCTGATTTGATCATGCACACCACCACCACCACCACCACCAATGGTTCAGTGGCAGAAGTCCTGCCTTCTTTGTCTGTTTCTGGCAGTTCAAATCCATTAGAGCTTCCCAGGAAGAACTAGTAGCTCTGGTGGCCTAGGGGTGAAGAAGCTGTGCTGAACTTCCAAAGTCCCACAGTTTGAATCCACCAGTTGCTCCACATGAGAAGGATGAGGAATCTCCTCCCATGTGATTTACTGCCTCTGAAAACCCATTGGAGGCTTAGCTACATGTCAGTTACGACTCTACAGCACATAAAGTCCACCTCCTGTTTCAATGACAGCCTTGGAAACCCAAACAAGAGTTTCTATGTATTACAACCAATTTGAAGGCAGTGAGACTGATTATGGTGGAGACCAGGGTGCATTTCAAGCAAATCCCTAAAATGCAGCCACTGCCCCATTTGTGTGTCAAGGGTATTGTCTGTTGGGGAAATTCCTCTTGTATTTGCTATGGGGCTAAGTTGAGGGAAGCTTGTATCCTAGGACATTGGTCCCAAAGGTTTGCATATCCATTTCCATAACTGAGCCTAAAGATACCCTAAGGATCTAATACCTATTATTATTATTATTATTAACAATAATAATAATGATGATAAATAGATAAATAAATCTTATATATAATAAATAATAATCTGTACTAAATAACTTGGAGTTGCTATGATGCTGAATACTGTTCCATAATCGTGTCAAATACCATGATGGTTACCCATTATGTACAGTGTTTGGATGAGTATCCTGATTGATTCATGCTGGGAAGCAGGAGTGACATCAACTTCCTAAACTAGATGCTTCTGGCAACTCTACAAGCTCTCTAAACTCTATAAATGTCCAGAGATTATGTTAGTTATAGAACAGAGTTCAGGTCTTTCATGCAAAGCTTACTCCGATTCATATTCAACTTGATGACCCTTAACCACCAGTAAATGAGACTAGTGCTGTTATATCTGAAGGAACACTCTTCCACTTTTTGTACATCACTCTAAGTCAAGTGCTGTATGAGATAACCTGGGTTTGCTGTGATGTTGAACCTTGTGCCACTGGGGTATCAAATACCATGATGTTTTCCATTGTAGACAGTGTTTGGTGGAGCTCCCAGTTGTAAAACAGGTTTGGAAGCAGGAAGCAGGAGTGGCACCCACTTCCTAAACCACATGCCTCTGGAAACTCTATGAACTTGGAGAAATGACGATAGTTATGGAAAGGCATTAGGTCTTTTGTTCATAGAGTCGCTATGAGCTGTACTTGACGACAATCAACAACAAACAACAATAATTATACTAATATAGTATATTATAACTAACAATAATAATAGTCTAGTACCTAACTTTTCACAGGAAGGGCAAAGGAGGAAGCACATTCTATCCCCTCGTGCATGAACCTGGGGCTGATGTGACAGCAAGTACCAACAACAGCCACCAAAATATATTCAATAATAACAACAGGCTGAAGCCTTGCTCTGTCTTGCGCCTCCCTCACAATCTCTGACACAGGGAGCACACTGGTGCAGTCCCTGTGTCAATTCATTTCCTACAGGAAATTGGAATAAAAAAACAACAAAAAACCACACCAAACAAAAAACCACAAAAAACCCAAAACGTCTAAACTATTCAGAGATGTCAATCAAGCAGGGTCAAATGTGGAGGTGTCTTCTGAAAAAGTCAGGGGCTTGCTATTAAAAACAAAGAAACAAACAAACAACAAAACCCAAGCTCACACAAACTGTAAAAACCAGAACCCAATTTTAAGCAATATCGTTGACAAGGACTTGCTGAAAGGAATGATGATTTGCCCTACGTTGGCACACAGTATCAGCATCATTGTTTCACCCCTTTCCCCCCCGCTGACTAAATCTGCGTAAGATTTTCCTTACCATCATCACAAGTGAAGTCTTGAATGGCCACATCCTGGATGGGGATTTCTTTTAGGAAGTATGGTTTCTGACATCTAGGATTTCCTGTTACAATTCTTTTCTTCCTAAGCCACTCCCCCAACCATGCCAGGTAGCAGTTGCAGTTAAAAGGATTGGATAAGAGGTTTCTAAGGGCCACAAGCAAACAGAACAGTGTTAAACTTACAATTTCTTAATCTCAAACTCCCATGTTCATTTTTTTCATACTATTTTTCATACTTTTCTTTCATTCCCATCCACTATTCACATCTTATCACACACAACACATGACCTGAATTTTCTTGAGCTAACATGTTAATATTTGGGCCTTAGACAATAACAATAATTCTTTCATGTAAGAAAATGAAACTAATTTCATACAAAAATAATAAAGTGAAGGCAGACATTTAGGCTTTCTGTGGTGTATCCTGATGTATATCTCATTTGGAAATAATTTAAACTTGTCAGAGATCTGACTGCCTGTCAAACTTCCTCACATTGATAATGCCGTAATTTAATATAAAGATGAAGGCTGATTACCTTACATTATTGAGCTTAACCTGACAACAGCTATTTCATTAATTTGTCATCGTCAGATTCCCATCTCTTATATGCTCCAGAGAATAGGTTTCCCATCTAAACTGACAGCCGAGTTGATTAAATGCCCATTATAAAAATGAATTGACTTCTCCAACTCTCAATACTCATGGCTTCTTACCACTTCAGCACCAACCTATTGACTATTCCATTATTTATAAACATGCCATCTTTAATATGCACAAATTAGTCACTAGATGTAAAGTGTCACATTTTATGTGGAGAGAGGATTAAGTACTTTATTGATGGATGCTTGCTTCAAGTGGTCCCTGCAGTCACTGGAGCTAGGCTACACATACTTGTTTTGTGATGTTTTTTGCTTTTCTTTCCCCTTTTTCAACTATTTTTATTCATTACCACTGATTCCATGAAGCAGATTTAGATGTTACTGTGTTCAGGAAATCAGTGATAAAAGGAATAACTTAAAACTAGATAGAGCATTGGTGGTACATACGTAACATTTTAGATTGCTAACCATTATTAATTAGGACAGGGGTTCTATTCAATGGCCACTCATTGGAAGATTGACAGTCTCCTCCTGCAAAGATTTGTAGCCTTCGAGACTTAGGAAGGGGTCGATATGAACTGGAACTGGCTCAATGACAGCTGGTAGGGTACCTAGATATTGTTCTACAACAGGCCAAAAATATACTTTCTGGAATATTTAAAAATATTTTCCGACATTTCTGAGTTCTATCCACAGAGCTGAAAGCACTTTAAAAAACAAAAACAAAAACAAAAACAAACAAAAACAAACCTGTACTGGCCGCTAAGGAGCTCTGGCACTAGTCTGGCTAAGCTATTTGGCTGGCACCTAAAACATGAAGCCATCTGCTTCTGTAAGATTTACATTCCTAGGAACACTTTGGGCAGCTCCACGGTATCTTAGAGGGACACTCTGGGTCAGAACTGACCCCAGGTCAGTGAAGACAGCTGTCTACAAGTATGCTTTCACCACAGAAACAGAATCCCCCAACTCTGGGAGCACAGTTTGTAGGAAGTTGCACTATTAACCCCTCGGGCTGTTCAAACCCACCAGTGGTTTGTTGGGAGAAGGATGTGCAAACTCTTCTTTTGCAATGTACAAAGCTGTGGATGTCCAGTGGAGGGTCAACTGAGAGCTGGATCTGACTTGATGGCAATGAATGAGTCAATAAACAGGCTCCACTTATTGCTTCAATTATCTTCTGAGAATCATAGCAAATACCTTTTGGTAAGCAGGTTTTCTCGTTGCTCTGGCCAAGGGAATGAGCCTCTTGTCACAATGAACAGCCCTTCTAAACACAGCTTGTGGACTGTAACCCTATCAACTATTTTGTAATATTTAATACTAAACATACTCCAATCTGAATAGACTGGGGATGGATCCAGCACATTTATTTATTTTCTGAAGCACAATCAAGTTATAAAAGCGTGAAAATTTAGAGTTTAAGGCATGTTATTAGGCCACATTATTATAAAACAGAACAGATTGGAAAATGGCATCATTTCTCATTAAACATTTCATCAATGAGAGTGGATAAATGGGTTGGGGTTTTTATTTTTCAGATAATTTTCATCTCTGAGTAGATACAATGAGTTTAACATGGATAAATTTATCCTTTTGTTTTCCGCACCCTAAATCCTTGATCACATTTTTATGAAATGCTCAATAAGGCAAGAGAATGTTATTAATAGACATACTAAGTATCCAACATTGGTTCAAGGAAGAGTAAAGTAAAGACTGTTTTTCCTACTTACAGCGTAGATAAAGAATGGAGAGAATCAAATGCTCCCGGGGCCACGGTCGTAATTTGATTATCGTACAGAGAAAGCAAACGCACGGAGCTCAGTCCTATGAAACTGTCATTCCCCACACAGCTTATGTGATTACTTCTCAACATCCTGAGGGAAGAAAGAGGGACACTGTTATGGAGAGAAAATAGCAGGCAATACATTTTGCCAATGTGACGACCAACATAATCTCTCATTGCAAATGTGTGGCATTCACTCCTATTTCCTGATACTCCTCCTGCCATCAGGAATTGCTGTGGATATGTCCTGAAAATCCCCTTGCAAGAATCAACTGCTTCAAGCCGCCAGTGACTAAGCTCATTGACTGAAGGCAAAAGGAACCTGGAACTAGAATCTGACCTGAGCGCACGGGACCGTATACCTTTGGTGCTATCATTAAGCCTGCCTGGTTAAATACTGTCTCTATTCACTTCTGGATCTCTGATTCCTTGAAACTGGTGATCTGTGTCCTCAAGATAGCATTTACATTGGAGGTTGGACAGAAATGGGAGACTGAATGGCAGTCCATCTGAAGAACCGAGAATATCCCCGGGACTCACATGCTGGGTCAATGTCTGCTATGGATTATATAACCCAACCTGCCTGGTCATCACAAAGCCAGCAGGAATGATTTTATTTATAAGACATCTCTGAAGTGTCAAGTTTAGATTAGAAATAAAAGCAATCATGGTACTTTTTGGTTGTGCCCAGTGAAGCTGACACACTCTTAAGTTTATCTTGAAGAAATTCTCTCTCTGCTAGTTATCCACCTTAAGGCATTAATTTTGTCATCATTTCCACATCACTGCTAAGGTCTCGGTTCAGCTTTTAACTCTTAGATAAACTCCTTATGTGCTTTTTATTTCTTTTTAAGAAAAGGAGAGAAAAGCTGATAAGAATCCCACATAGAGATCATTTTATTGTTGTGTGGGCTTTTGAGTCAGAAGGGGCCTGGAGCTGACCCTCCAGTGGGCTTTTCAGAGACAGGAAATCACCTCCTGAAGGTTTGCCCACATTTCTCCTCCATAGCAACTGGTGGATTCAAACTGCATACTTTTGGAGTGGCAGTGCAGCTCCTTACCATTGGGCCACCAGAGTACCCTTAGAGATGAATGGTTGTTTTCACTCTCATTCAGATGGGTTAACTAGCTCATTTATTTTCCCAAATGCTTGGATGCCTTTTATCTGATCACTTCAAAGAGAAGATTAAAGTGCTTAGGGAAGAGTCCTAGCTGCTGCTAGGTACTGTCGAGCTGGCCCTACTGCCCAGTAACTCTGTATAAAACAGAATTAAATGCTTCCTGGTCCTGAGCCACTCTGACTATAGTTGGCATATTTGAGCCCTTCCTATATGTGACCATGTATCATTCTACCTCTTAGAGAGCTGAGTGGCCACAGGAAGTAAAAAATCAAGTGGGATTCCCCTCCCCCAACATTTTTGATTCCTCTTTAAACAGGATGATTGGAAAAACAAAGAGTCAGAGAAAGAGAGGAAGACCCTGGAGGAGAGGGACTGGCCTGGAGACTGCAGCAATGAGGGTGGTGGAGGTAGAGAGGACAGACAGACAGTGAACAGCCTCCATCTGCTGTCCACAGGGCAGCTATGGGTAACAGTCGGCTTGGCAGACCTGAACAAATCCAAGTCCGAAATACCAACTTCTGCATTCTACTGTGCCACAGAAAAGAAGGAAGGAAGTTGCCTTCCTTATCAAGCTATCATTTTCTGTTGGGAAGAAAATGCCCAGGAGGAAATGATTCTCACCAGCATTATCCTTTCTCAACCAATCACTTGGTCTTAATTGTATCGGAGCTGGTTTGGAGAGGTTGCCAGAAAAATCAACAAGCAGCTGCATGCACCCAATGCTGCCTGTGATGTCAAGGGATTCAGAGTCCCCGGGGGGGGGGGGGGGGGGGGGGGGGGGGGGGGGGGGGGGGGGGGGGGAAGGGAGGGCTCTCACTGGGACAGAAGGCAGACACTGGGGGCCTCCTTCTAACACCTCTGAGAGAAAGAAGAGAAGTTAACTCCTCAGTCTGTGTCAGAACAGAGAATTCAGGTCTTTCCGATGGCATAGTCTTAAGGGTGTTATGCTTCTAACTCAGAGGTGACCCTTCTCTGGTGGTTCAAATCCACCAGCAGCTCGGAGGCAGAATGATGGACAATCTCCTCCAGTGTGAAATACAGCCTTGAAAACCCACTGGAAGGTCAGCTCATGAGCCAGTTCTAACTGAAAAGTAGGGATTGAAGCAAGGGCAATCTCTTTCGGTGAGAAGTGAGAAGGTAAGTTCTTGTGTTGGTTGTCAGGAGATAACCTTTGCTCATGTGTAACACACATGAGTACTGGATTCACAGACTGTGGCTTTCACACAAACTCTATTGGTTGTGTGTGAGTGTTGGTTTGTGTGTGTGTGCATGTGTTCGTGTCTGCATATATATGTATAAAAGAGAGGGGGGAAAGAGAGAAAAATGTTATCCACTTTCCAACATCTTCTTTGATTATGACAACTGTCATGGATTGAATTATGTCCTCCAAATGATATATTGAAGCCCTAACTCTGAGGATAGAAGGAGAATTGATGCCTTTGAGCTGTGGTGCTGGAGAAGAGTATTGAGAATACCATGGACTGCAGGGAAAACAAACAGATTTGTCCTGGAAAGGGTTAAACTGGGTGACTCCTTGGAGGCAAGGATTCTGAGGCTCCCTCTAACTTTGGACATGTTGTGAAGAGAGACCGGTCCTTGAAGAGGGACATCATGCTGGGGAGGGTGGAGGGACGGCACAGGAGGGGAAGGCCCTCTATGAGGTGGATTGATTCAGTGACTGGGATAATCGGGATGGGAGTATCAGAGACAGTGCAATTGGCACAGGACAGAGCAGAATTTAGGGCTGTTGTACATAGGGTCACTATGAGTCGCAAGCAACTCAACGGCACATAAGAACAACAACAACAACAACTCCGTGTATCTAAAAACCAACTATTTTCTGTTTTTAATAAGATAGGGCAATTGAAGATGCTATCTCCTCAGTTAACATGAAGGGACACCAGCAGAGGCCAAGTCTTGTAGCAACCACAGCTGTCAAGTCAATTTTGATGCCTAGTGACTCCCCACTCCCACTGGGTTTCCAAGGCTATTAATCTTAACGGGAGGAGGCTGCCTGTCTTTCTTTTCTGTAGCAGCTGGTGGATTTGAACTGCAAACTTTCTGGTTAGCAAAGCCACACACTATGTACTATGCCAGCAGAACTTCTTAGGTTGTGACTTAATATTATCTAATTTATGTTCTTGTAACGGAAGGCAAGCAGAGACACACACAGAGGGCAGACAGTCATGTGAAGAAGTATCTACAGGCACATGACCTTCAGGGAATTCCTGGGAGTTTCTTGAAGTTGGAAGGAATGAGGAAGAGTCTTGCCCTCCAGTAGACAGAGAGTGCATTTCCCTGCTGATGCTCTATGTTAGAGTTCTAGCATCTGAAACTGGGAGACAGTGATTGCCCTTTCAAGTCACATTTTCTTGTATAGTATACAGTAGCCCCAAGTGACTCAATTAATGACCAATCAATTAATACCCATAGAGGAATATCAGTGCAGCAAAATACTTACAAAGTTTTGAGGCTTTCCAATCCTTTGAACATCTTATGCCGGATATTTTCCAAACGATTACTTGTAAGAAGTACTTCATTGACTCCAGATGCTCCTTCAAACACTCCCTCTTCAATGTCTGTGATCTTATTGTTGCTAAAGTTTCTAAATTAAAAAAAAAAGATGGAGCCAAAGACTTTGAAATAATTCTTTTCCAACAATGAAGGGATCAAAACAATTAAGCTGTCTGAGGTTTGATCATATTCTCCTTAATCGAACCTTCCCCAGCTGCAAGGGAAACAGACAACAGCGCCCCCACTTCAGCAAAACAAAGATACTAATACTCTTTCATTTGTGGTAAAAAATGCTCAGTCAACTTCAAAGGGAAATAGGGTTCTCTTAAGTATGAACTATTCCTAGTATGGGCTCAATTTCAGCTTATATTCATGGAAACATATATTCAACCATCCAATCAAGTGGTCAGTGTTTCCTGTGCTACAAAGCTCAAGTCCCTTTACCTCACCATTCATGCCAAGAACAGGATTGACAGTAAAAACTGGGTCCTTGATCTGTATTACTTTTATTCTTCACGAAGAATTCACATAGGAGCTGTCCAAGAAATACCTATCGACTTGAAAGACTGTGTGTAGTTTAAAAGAAATCACAGCTAGAATCAGCTGATCTTAAGTCTGATTCATGCTCACCTCATGTTAGGTAGGTAGCTTCTCAGTCTACTATTTACAATGACTTGTTTTTTCAGTAGTAAATAACTAGGCATTACGGGTAAAGAATCTCAGGGTGGATTTGAATCACCAACCTTTTAGTTAGCCACCAAGTGTGCTAGCCATTTTTTTTAACAATCCTGGGACCCCTAAATTACAGTTAATATTAGGGGAAAAGAGGAATATTTAAAACAATAAAAACCTCAAAATGTTAAGTGCATTCTCTTCACCATTGGTAGTGTATGTGACAATAGTCCAAGTTACATATATGAATACTCTTCATATAGATGATTCCTTCCTTCTTACTGTTGTAGGGACTCCATTCGCTGCCCCACTGACCTCCCTCACCCCTCCCTCTCTGGTCCTTAAGAAGGAAAAGCACTAAGAGTTCTGAAAACTGCTGAGCGTCACAACTTATTTGAGAGTATGAGCTGTGGACATGTTTCCACACAGATGAGTGCAGGCCAGCCAGCTTCCCAATCATTAATTTTCAACATATTTTCTAATGAAAGTTTAATGAAGCAAAAAAGTCAAAGAGTTGACATGAATGTGCTCAAAGAGAAATAGCAGCATGGTTTAGGGAATAGTAAAGGAAGTTAGGAAACATTAGGGAGCCCATTTCTGATGTGCTGAGAATGCTGCTTTCCTGCTGGGCCACATGACAGGCCAGCTGTCTGAGTTACAGCGAGAGGCTGGTGCCCCGCTCTGGAAAAGGTGGCTGACTCATTTCAACTCATACAATTCACACAAGGGCCTTTAGCAAACTTCTCTCTAAATTCATGACACCGGAAGTCACTGATTGTGATGTTTACTAGGTTTTTAAATACTTTCCAATTTTTTCTAAAAGAAACTTGAGTCAAACTCTAAGTTAAAGAGTGAAATGAAACAAAGGGAAGGATCATAAATGCACAGCTTACATTTTACGCAATTGAGGGAGTTTCTTAAAGATTCCAGTGGCTTTCAACACAGTGAATTCATTATTATTGAGACGCCTGGGGGAGAAAGGGAGAGAAGCAAGACAAAATTTTCCTTTATTATAATTTAAGAAGAGATTCTTTTTGCCCACCTTACATTATTTAACCATTTTCTTAAAAGATACTGTGCATATAATGGAAGATGGTGGAAACTACTCATCTCCCCTTTTTTCTCTCACATTTTAACGATCAAAAGAATAGGTATTAAACACCTGCTAACTCAATTCATTGCCACAGAGTAGGAACCAACTCATAGCTGACCCTCCCTTGGTCTTCCAAGGCTATAAACTGCAGATTTCCATTTCCTCTCCCAGAGCGCCTGGTGGATTTGAACCAGGAGAGAGGTGAGCAGTCTCTGGGTTAGCTGCACAACTTCCTATGGAGTTCACATGCCACTGTTGCTGACTGTTATGTATCATCGAGTAGCAATCCTCTGAACAAGAAATCTGCACCCTATCTGACCCTGTGCCAGCCTCACAATCTCTGACATATTTTGGAATCACCGCTGATGTCAGTATCAATTCAACTGGCTGAAGGTCTTCTCTCTCATCGACCCTTCTTGTCCAAGTATAATGGATTTCTTCAAAGAGTAGCCTCTTCTATCAATATGCCCAAAGTATGTGAGAGGACCCTGGTCCAAGAAGCATCTTAGCACCTTCTCAAGGACACCTATCTGTTTGTTCTCTTGGCAGTCCATGAGCTAGTCAGTACTATTCTCCAACACCATGCATTAAAGGTGCCAATTCCCCTGTCATTCGTATTCATTGTCCAGCTCTTAGACGCATAGCAAGTGTTGGAAAAGAACATGGTCTGAATCAGGCACAACTTACTCCTCAAACTGACATCTCCATTTCTCAATAATTTGGAAAGGTCCCTGATGGCAGACTTTCCCAATGCATTACATCTCCTGACTGCTGGTACCAAGGGTGTTTATTGTGGATCTAAGTAGGAAGATGTTCACAGGTTCACTCTTTTCGCTACCTATCGATGTTGACATCAGAACAGAGCAAGGGAACAATGCATGGTTCAAAATTGGGAAGGGCGTATGCCAGGGATGCATCCTATCTCCATACCTTTTCAACCTATATGCATTACAGATTATCCGGGAGGCTGGGCTCTATGAGGAGAAATGTGGGGTCAAGATTGGTGGATGATTTATCAACAATCTGCGTTATGCAGATGACACAACCCTGCTTGCTGAAACTAAAGAGGACCTGAAGCGCCTGCTGCAGAGGGTCAAGGACTGCAGCCTCCAATATGGATTGGGGCTCAATGTCAAGAAGACAAAGATTCTCACCACTGGACCAATTGGCAGCATCAGGATGGATGGTGAAGAGATTGAGATTGTACACAGCTTTAGTTTGCTTGGCTTCACAGTCAACAGTCTTGGCACCAGCAGCCAGGAAAATAAAAGGCGCATTGCCATGGGAAAGTCTGCTGTTAGGGACCTCTCCAGGGTACTGAAGAGCAATGGTGTCTCTCTGGAGACTAAGGTGCGTTTGATACAGGTCATGGTCTTTGCAATCACTTGTTATGCATCAGAGAGTTGGACAATGACCAAGGAGGATAGAAGGAGAATTGATGCCTTTGAGCTGTGGTGCTGGAGAAGAGTATTGAGAATACCATGGACTGCTAGGAAAACAAACAGATTCGTCCTGGAAAGGGTTAAACCGGGTGGCTCCTTGGAGGCAAGGATTCTGAGGCTCCGTCTAACATACTTTGGACATGTTGTGAGGAGAGACCGGTCCTTGAAGAGAGACATCATGTTTGGGAGGGCGGAGGGACGGCGCAGGAGGGGAAGGCCCTCTATGAGGTGGATTGATTCCGTGACTGGGATAATTGGGATGGGAGTGTCGGAGACAGTGCGATTGGCACAGAACAGAGCCGAGTTTAGGGCTGTTGTACATAGGGTCGCTATGAGTCGCAAGCGGCTTGACGGCACATAACAACAACAACATCGATGTTGACAGGTTCACTCTTTATCTATCATGATTTTGCCTTAGGTCCAGTGGTGAGAATTTGTGTTTCCTTGATATTGGGCTTCAATTCATATTGAAGGCCGGATTCTTTGATCTTCTGCAGCAAATGCTTCAAGTCATCCTACTTTCAACAAACATGACTGTGTCATCTGCATAACGCAAGTTACTGATTAGTCTTCTCCACTCTTGATGCCACATTCTTTTCCATAGAGTCCAGTTTCTCATAGAATTCCCTCACCATATTGATTTAATAGGTGTGGAGAGAGGATACGACCTTGATACACACTGTTCTTAATTTTAAACCACACAGTAGTCTCTTGCTCTGTTCATACAGCTGTGTCTCTTAATCTAGGTATAGGCCTTGCATGAGCACAACTAAGTGTTCTGGGATTCTCATTCTTTTCAATGTCAGCTATAATTTGCTATAATATATGCCACTATTGTTGTTATGCGCTGTCGAGCTCCCTGCAACTCATAGTGACCCTATGTACAGCAGCCCTAAGCCCTGCTCTATCCTGTGCCAATCTTATTGTCTCTGACACACCTAACCCTATTACCCCAGTTACTGAATCAATCCATCTCATTGAGGGTCTTCCTCTCTTTTGCTGTCCCTCCACCCGCCCAAACATGATGTCCCTTTCCAAGGACTGGTCCTAGAGCTCCTCAAAACACATATAGTCAAAATAGATAGATAGATAGATAGACTCTTTGAATTCTTATTTAGAAATATTATAAATGTTTATTTAGAAATAAGAAATATTTTCAAATATCTTTTATTGCCTCTAAACAGATTCATTCTTACTTATTAAATTTAATTTTTAATCATTCATATATGTTATGTTTCATACCACTGAAACTAATTAATATGTAAAATTCCATGCGACTTGTCATATTAAAAACAATTGTACTAGTCCCACCATTATCTAATTCTAAATAATTTTCAGCATTCTCAGAAGAATCAATATATCTTTAGAAGTCATTCTTAGTTTGTTCTTCCTCTGTCCACCAATTTTAGGCAGTTAATAATCTACATTCTGTCTCAAGAATTTGGCTATTGACTTGAACATGTTCCATACATAGAACCACACAAAATGAAGAGCTCTGTCTCTGGCTTCTTCCTCTTTGTGAAATATTTCCAAGGCTCAGCACACATCAGGACGTGAGTGCTTTATTGTAGATGACACAACCTTGCTTGCTGAAACTGAAGAAGACGTGAAGCACTTGCTGCAGAAGGTCAAGGACTGCAGTCTTCAATATCAAGAAGACAAAGATTCTAACCACTGGGCAAATTGTCAGCATCATGATAGAGGGAGAAGAGATTGAGATTGTTAACAATTACAGCTTGCTCGGCTCTACAATAAATACTCTTACTTAACACCAGCAGTCAATAAATCAAAAGATGAAGTCCGTTGGGAAAATCTGCTGTCAGAGACCTCTCCAGAGTATGGAAAAGTAACAATGTCAGTCTAAAGACGAAAGTGCACCTAATCCAGGCCATGGTCTTTGCAATTACTTGCTATACATTAGAGAGCTGGACAGTGACTAAAGTTAATAGAAGAAGAATCAATGCCTTCTACTTGTGGCGCTGGATAAGAGTCTTAAACATACCACTGGCCACCAAGAAAACCAATAGGACTGTCTTGGAGAGAGTGGAATCAAGTCTCTCCTTGGAGGATAGGATTTTGAAGCTCCATCTCACATACTTTGGGCACATGGCCAAGAGAGACCGGTCTTTAGAGAGGGACATCATGCTTGGAAGGGTGGAGGGACAATGCAGGAGAGGAAGACACCATATAAAATGGATTGATACAGTAACTGGGACAATGGGAGTTGATGTGTCAGAATTAGTGAGACTGGCTTAGGACAGGGCAGGGTTCAGAACTGCTGTACACAGGGTTGCTATCAGTCACAGGTGACTCAATCGCACTTAACAACAAACAGCAACAATGCTCCATTGCATGTATTTACAGCACAGAAAAATACAATTGTTATACAAGAAGATAACTCCAGGCAGTACTGGTGGTTCAGTTCAGAGGAAGTCACACTTCTGAACCCTAAGGTGCTACTTCACTGGGGTGTGAGTTGGGAACTGACCAGCAGCTCTGCATGAGAAACTTGAGAACCATTTGATTTACAGCTATGAGTCAGTTATGACTTGACAGCAAAATGTGAATGAATGAGGGAGGGATGATGACTCCATGCTCAAATTTTGGAGGAACATTATCAAATAGTTTCACAAAACAAATGTACATTTTTTTCACTCTACTTTTTCAATCTATATGTAGAACAGATTATCCAAGAGGCTGGGTTGTATGAGGAGAAGTGTGGCATCAGGATTGGCGGAAGATTCATCAACAATCTGTGTCATGCAGATGACACAACCCCGCTTGCTGAAACTAAGGAGGACCTGAAGCACTTGCTACAGAAGGTCAAGGACTGCAGCTTTCAATATGGATTGCGGCTCAATATCAAGAAGACAAAGATTCTCACCACTGAGCCAATTGGCAGCATCAGGATGGATGGTGAAGAGACTGAGATTGTTCACAGCTTTAGATTGCTTTGCTCCACAGTCAACACTCTTGGCACCACTAGCCAGGAAATTAAAAGGCGTATTGCCATGGGAAAGTCTGCTGTTAGGGACCTCTCCAAAGTACTGAAGAGCAATAGTGTCACTATGGAGACTAAGGCACATCTGATACAGGCCATGGTCTTTGCAATCACTTGCTATATAATCGGAGAGCTGGACAATGACTAGGGAGGATAGAAGGAGAATTGATGCCTTTGAGCTGTGGTGTTGGAGAGAGTGTTCAATGTACCATGGACTGATAAGGAAACAAACAGATTCATCCTTGTGAGGGTTAAACCAGTCTGCTTCTTGGAGGTAAGGATTCTGAGGCTTTGTCTGACATACTTTGTGCATGTTGTAAGGAGGGACCGGACCTTGGAGAAGGACGTCATGCTTGGGAGGGTAGAGGGACAGTGCAGGAGGGGAAGACCCTCTATGAGGTGGATTGATTCAGTGACTGGGGTAATCAGGGCGGGTGTGTCAGAGATAGTGGGATTGGGACAGGACAGAGTAGGGTTTAAGGCTGTTGTACATAGAGTCGCTATGAGTTGCAGGTGACTTGACAGCACATACAACAACAACAACAACAACAGCTCAGCAGTATATGAAAGGGGGTTTTTTTGGTACAATTATTGCTAATACTTGGCGCTCTCTCCTTTTCTCCTTTTAAAGGATCATTCCAAGTATGGATGAAGAAGTGCCTCACTGCAATTTTGATTTGTTTTTCCCTAGTGATTAAGTCTGTTGTGTATCTATTCATCTGTTTACATCTTCTTCAGAGAACTATCCACTGGAATAATTGGGTCATTTTTAATTGATAATGGACCCTTTATTGTTAAGATGAGATAATTCTTTATGTATTTGGGCTCCACATCCTTTATCAAATATATACTTGGGGGATATTTTCTGAGTCTTTAGTATGTTGTTTTTGCTATTGCTTTATCCCCTCAGGTTGGAACCAATTCATATTTGACCATGACTCAAAACTCACTCACTGCACTGAGTTTTCAGAGACAGTAAACTGTGCAGGAGGAGAATGCCCAACTTCTGCCATGGAGCAGATTTCAGCTTCCTGCCCTAGGCTGGCAGCACAATGTCTCACCTCTAAGCCACTAGATTTTTTAAATTCTTCACACATGTTAGTCTGGAGACTAAGGTGAACCTGATCAAGGCCACAGTCCTTGCAATTACTTGCTATGTGTCAGAAAGCTGGACAATGACTAGAGATGATATAAGGAAAATTGATACCTTTGAACTGTGGTGCTAGAGAAGAGTATTGAATATACTATGGATTCTTAGAAGAACAAACATGTTTATCCTAGAGAGGGTGAGACCAGGCTGCTCCTTGGAGGCAAGGATTCTGAAGCTTCGTCTGACGTAGTCTGGACATGCTGCAAGGAGGGATCAGTCCTTGGAGAGGAACTTTATGCTTGGGAGAGTGGAGGGACAGCGCAGGAGGTGAAGGCCCTTGATGAGATGGATTGATTCAATGACTGAGGTAATTTTGGTAGGTGTGTCAGAGACATTAAGATTGGCACAAGATAGAGCAGGGTTTAGAGCTGTTGTACATATGGTCTTTATGAGTCGCAAGTGACTCGAAGGCTCATAAACAGCACAACCTTTGCATAATCAGAGTGCAAATATATATATTACTTTTTTATTGACACATAAGCCTATTTAAGGTGTTAATCATGATGGAAAATATTGCATGAGTTCTGTTTGTATCCCTCAAGAGCAATGATATCGTCTAAATACTAAGGTGCACCTAATCTAAGCCACAGTCTTTTCATTTGCTTCCTATGCATCTAAAGGTTGGACAATAAATAAAGATGGAAGAAGAAGAATTCATGCTATCAAATCCTCGTACTGGAAAAGAGTAGTGAATATCCCATATGGCCAAAAGAACAAATAAGGCTATCTTCAAGGAAGTACAACCACGATGCTCCTTTGAGACCTGGATAGTAATAGTCAGTGTACGTAGTTAAGTCAGGAGGGGCTGGGCTTTGGAAGAAACCCTCATGCTGGGAAAAGTGGAAGTCTGAGAAAGAGAGGAAAGTCCTAAGTTGACACTTTGACAGAGTAAATGTAACAATGGGCTCAAATATATAAGAGATCAAAAGGATAACACAGGATGGGGTAAAGTCCATGTACGGGGTTCACAGGGTCGCCTGAATCATAGTAGACCGTATGGTAATGGACTACCTGGACTCCTTGCATTTTTAGACATCCTGGAGGGATGACATAACATCACGATTTAATACGAGGAAAAGAGCCTGCCCTTTAACTAATCAGGAGTTTCTCCAAAAGACCTAGCACTATTCGTGTTCACTCAAATAACTTAAAATTCATTACATAAAAGTCAAGATTGTATAGGCAGTCAGGTAAACTATGAAACACAATCCTTGCCTTTAAAGGGCTATCCTCAAGCGGAAGACCAAAAGGATTCTGCGTGTGTTAAAAAGGCAGCCTCTTCTGCAAAGCACCAAGAGACAAACGCCAGATGGTGTTCACAGAAACACTGCTAATATGTTCTTGAAATGGGAAGGTCGCACTTGGATTTGGAGAACATTAACATTAAAGGCTTTTCTTTTCTAAATAAAGTCAGTCAAGGCAAACCTTCTAGATGCATATATACTATTGTTGCTGTGTGCCTTTTTTTAAAGTCAGAACCGACTCATAGCTGAACCTCCTGTGGGATTTCAGAGGCTGTAATCACCCTGGAGGAGACTGTCCATCCATCTCCCCACAGAGCAGCTGGTGGATTCAAACTGAGTGCCTTTTGGATTGCAATGCAGTTTCTTACCTCTAGGCCACCAGAGCTGATTAAAAAAACCACATGTTTTAGTACCTACTATGGGACAGGCCCTGTGTTAGGGTTAGAGAAATAAATCTTATCATTCCTTGTCTTCTCAGCTTTATCTGTTCTGACAACATCATACCTTGACTTCACTATTTGATCATTAATGAATCTGACTTGTGAGTTAATGAAATAGAATTAATAATGGAGGAAAAAGGAATTAAACTTAGTAATTAGCAGTTAATTCTAAATGGAAGTCTTCTGCTACTGTATATGCTTACTGTCATGGTTAAATAAGTTAAATCCCGACTAAATGCTTAGAAATCCCTCTAGGAATAAAAATAAAATACAAGTGTTATTATTGTTGCATTACCAAGTGCTAACTGGAATTTGAAAAGTAAATGGATTTCTATAATTTTTATCTTGGACTTGAAAGATAAACAAAATGGCCTTTTTAAAAATTCCTTTACAAATAACATAAACTTCTCCATTTTAGTCATGTTTATCGGGACTCATTGCTAACCCAAAGGCTATGTGTCTTTCATGGTTCGAATTCACCAGGAGCAAGATGGTCAAATTCCTCTCCTGCAGTCTTATAGCCTCAGAAAACCAATGGATGGTCTTTAATGAGTGGTTCTGACTCAGAAATAATGAATTGAGTTTGAGTCCAGCACCATTATTTGTGGTTACAATGTTCTACAACCATCTAATACACGCATGGATCCAGCAGAATGATGCCAGTGTACATTAATTAGTATGGGTACAATTACTAAGAAATAAAAGACAAGAGAACATTTCTCATGTCTAATGATCACATTCCCCCTCACCTCACTCCTCCCAACCAGAGTCTTCTAGTGGATGAACTTACAGCTCTGCCGTGTACTGGGGGATGTGGTCTGGGATTTTACTGAGTTTCTGATTGGAGCAATCGACTGTGGTCCCTTCACAGCGGCACTTTTCAGGACAAGCCATATCTGCAAAGCAGTCTCCACTTAATTTTGATCGATAATCTTCTGTACCTATTGAGGATTCAAGCCAAAAGAGCAGACGCTGAGTCAAAAGGGGAAGACTATGCATTCCATCTTTGGAAGCAGAAAAACAAGTCAACGAAAACCCAAAAGGGAGAGAACTACGGATTGTGCAGCAGGGGACACGTTGAGGGGATTTTGGTCAATGAATGCCAGGAGGGGGTTAAAACAGGGGCTCGGAATTTGCTGGAATAAAAAATAGTGACCACATTCATACGACAGGAAGACATTTACTAAAGACAAGCTTTTCACAGATGTACTTTCTGCTGATCCACTTACAAGCCATTTCTGCTTAGTTCACAGCTAATCATACAATGGCTATCCAATATTTTTTTACAGCTGATTTTGTTTTCAATCAAGATTTTAAAAAAAAAAAGAAGAGAGAGTACTCTGTAATAAACATATCTCTACAATATCACTTTAAAAGCAGGGCTTTCTAGGCAAATGGTTGTCTCTAAGGTTTTTCAAGTCTTTGTGCTCTTTGAGAATTCTCTCCCTCTCACATAATGCCCTGCAGTGTCCTAAAAGCCCTCTTTTTTTTCCCTTTTTCACTTTGTTTGTATAAACACAGGCACGTAAACCTTGATTTAAGCCTCAGCAGCTTGTCATGCTGTAGAAAGCTGCGTGACGTTCCATGGTGCTTGACGGAACCATGTTTTACTGATACCTCGCAACCACATGGTTAGATCAAGCACAACAGAAAATCTCGCTACATAATCACTATACCATCCACTAACTAGGCCAAAGGGAAGACGGAGAGGGAAGATGTCGGGAAGGCAGAGAGAAGCTACAGACAGTCCGGAGAGGTAATACTGTGTACACGACATGCACTCTTCCCACAGGGCGTTTGGAATCACAGTTTGGGTGTTACTACCGAAGGGTTCCTGGAAACACAAAGAAGGGGTACACCGCTGGGTGCCTTCCACAGTTCTCCTCTGCAGAATGGACAGGACAGCTTCAGGAACAATGGCAGGAAGGAGTTGGAGGTAAGCTACAAGGACAACAGAGAAGCTCAAAGGGCCTGTGGTTTCTTCTTGGGGTAGAGGAGAAGGCGTGAAAGGACCACACTAGAAGAAGGTACATCAGGATCGAAAAGGGAAGACATCATGGTTTCAGATCAGACACACTTTTACTTACAGCCCAAATGGTGAATTCCTGCAAAAGTAAAGATTACCAAGAAGGAAAGAAAGACAGAATAATCCCAGTTAGGATTAATACACATAAACACAAAACCAAGCTCCTCTTCTCCTGGCTTCACTGTGGCACTTAGGGAGCCCTAGCACCATGGGGTAGGAGATCTCATGCTTTGTGGCACTTTCCAATTATTTTGGAAGTGCAGAAGTCTCCCAAGAAAAGCAACAGCATAAAAGATATTTACAACATCAAAATAGGAGGGCTATTCCAAATTAAATTCTTGTGGATTCCTTTAAGGGTGAATTCTCTGCAAACAGATCTCCTTTTGTGTTATCACTGAGCAATCAAAAATGCCACATGGAGTGATGGTAGGTGACAACGTAACATTCAAAAAAAAACAAAATGAACTATAGAGAGCGCCATTGGTATTTGGGTAAGTTCTTAGGTTTGCATGCTTGGAAATCTTGTTTCTGACTTACAAGTGTCACTTAGTGACAAAGGAAACCGAGTCTCCCAAGGAGCTGTCACGAGGGACAGTATAGTTTGATCAAACTGTCCCTGAGCGTATTAGTGTTTATTGGCGATCTTCTGTGGTGGCTTAAGTTTTGATCTCCAAAGTGAAATGAAGTTGTGATGATGTAGTTAAGCTGCCACTGAGTTAGTTCTGACTTATAGTGACCCTGGGAACTCTTCTGCTTGTGCTACTAACTGAAAGACTGGACATCTTCAGCAGTTCAAATCCACCAGTAGATCTGGAGGAGAAATATGAGAATTCTCCTTCCATAAAGACTTACTGTCTCAGAAATTTGATGGAGGGTCATTTAGGAGTCAGAACTGATTCCACGGCTGTGATTTTGCTGTTGTTTTATTATTGTTATTTTATTTTACATTTTAGTTCATTGGAGCCCCAGCTACATAGAGTAGAACTGCTCCATAGTGATTTTAAAGCTGTGACCTTTGGAAGCAGTGTAAAACTCTGGGTGTGTTCCCATCACTAATATTTTGGTTAATAGTTGAGTACCTGAACATTTTTCATCACCCAGGGATTTATTGAAATAAGCATACTGAGCCAAAGTGGCAGGGATGTAATATCTTACATTTAAAATAAACAGTATTCAGTGCAGTAACAATAATGTCTATGTTATGATGATTCTTTTCTATAGGCTCAATTTTTAATTAACATTTATATTAAAAGGGAGCCTTGGAGCCTGGCTTCTATAAATATTGTTTTAAATTATATAAATTGAATTTTTAGAAATTGAAAGTTAAGCTGCTGTATCTAATATAAAAGTTATTTCCCAAAATCTATTATTTGGCCTGCTCTCAATGAGAGAGCAAAACTACATTCAAATACAGAATGTATTAATGTAGCTGATTGGTTATTTATTTGGCAAGAATGTCTACCCTACTAATGAATAATATACAGGGTGAATAATTCAAGTATTATGGGAACAATTATATTAACTGCTGTTATTTGGAGATTTAATTCACATTAAAGTTCTATTTTGTAGGTGGTCTGGTGTTAAGAATATGACTTTCCCAGGGTATGAAACAGCTATCAGATGATGTGCTACTTAATAACTAGCTAAAAACAATGAATTTTTTTTTATTGCTTAATGAGAGTCTATCGATTGTTCTTTTCAATGTGCTACTTCTTATGCAGCCAGCACTCAACGAGCAAAATACATGAAACATTGTTGACTATTCAGGCTCAAAATGAGCAAGAAAAGAAAATCTGTTAAATGCAGACGATTACTCCAGATACAAATCAATAATGGCAAACAACACATCTCTCTAATACAAAGACCAATCCTGGAGCCCGTGTGAAAAAAAGAAATATTACATTGTACATGAGAACTGTGGCAACACTTTCTTACTTTTAGCTTTGAAAAGACATCATTTAGCAATATAACAGGAAAATTATTAATATAGTCAGTTAGTAACATGACTTCTATAAAAATGGCTTAAAACAAACAAATCAGGAGGCATTTTACACAACTGGCAGGCAAGGGGAACAGTAAGTCAAGAAACATATTTCAAAGAGCTAGTTCTAGTATCATTTGCCTTGATAGTGTGTAAGATCAACGTGGTCTTATGTTACAACTATTTTCTTAGAACCTTCTCACTGGTTATTCGAAGTGTCTATATGGTTCCCAGGAAGGCAGATTTGGTGGCATACTTTGTACAGTTTTGCTGCTGATCCAGTGGCAAATTATCTCTCTGAGGTTTCCAACTTACTTTCCCCTTGGGGAAACCTAGTGGTTTTCCAAGAAGAACACAATTGAGAGTCAGCTATGAATTTGCAAGAACCCAATGGAGAGTCAGCTATGAATTTGTTCTTACTAAACAGTAAATGAACGAATGCCCACAAAATACGATGTTCTCACCATAGGCACCATGACCCTATCTGCTCAAGAATGTAAAGTCACAAATAAAAAAAAATGCAGATAGCAGTCTTCTAAAAATAGAATTTAAAGAAAAAGTATGCAAAAAGGATACTTTTTTTTTAAATTATAAAGAAACTACCAAGTAGTTCAATCTCATGTTGGGGGAGGAGGGAAGTAATTCTGTGTTTGTAGCTAATTCCTTGTAGAACTAGCCCTTTGATAACACAAAGAACACTGTCTTTAAAACCAGCTCAGTAAGCTACGTTTTAAAAACAGGTTGGGGGGAAAAATCAGATATACAGTGTAGGGAGAGAAAATTATTTAAGTAGAAAGCTATAGGTTCAAACATTTTAGCTACTGTGCGAAATTTTAGATAATGTGCCAACGTGAGCGAGTGAGAGAGAGAAGGAACGGTGGGGCTTTATTTCTATCTAACACATCAGAAGCCGCATGCAATGGTCAGGTGTTTGGGAAATAGCTACAAGTGATCTACGCAGATGTGAATCTAGCTACTGGGTTCCCACTGTGTTTTCAGAAGCATGCATATCAGAGGCTTAGAAGCTGGGTTATAAAGGTGAAGAAAGGGTGTCTGCAGTCCTACTACCGAGCAAAACCTACCTGGAATGAAATACTGTTCTTTAGCTAAATAAAAAAGAGAGAGAGAAAAAAAATACAAGATGTACCTGAATGCCAGCAAGCAGAGATACGAGTTATAGTCGATTAAGAATGGACTATAGTTATTGCAGACAATTACATGAAAATGATCTACTCCCAGCAGTAGCTGAAGTATACAAATGTACAGTGAGTAGTAAATGCATCTAGAGTCACGGACAATAAACAGCTCTGTTCCAATATTAGCTTTTTTAGTAAATTAATTGCCAACTGTAGGATACACACAGAATCATGAAGTTACTACCAAAAACATACAGAACGTATTTTCTCATAATGAAATAGTCAAGATTAGACCCAAGTGAATATCAAATTTCATGGAAGTATGTTTTTAATTAAACAATACAATATATATGTATTTGACTTCTATAAATAAATATAATATCCCAACCTTTTAAAAAGATGCTCTTTTGGACAAAAAAAAAATTGTCTTTGGAGTTAAATCATACAAAGAGAAATGGCAGGAAATGTGAGAGCTAGGGATCAATTTTTTTTTCTTCTTTTCCTCCCTTCCCACCTCTACCTTTTAAATCAGAGCAGATCTCATAAACAAGTCTCAGTTCACTTTCAAAAGACATGCATATGATTGATTACCTTGGAGTTGTTCAATGGAAACAGAGACAACAAATACGAGACTGAACTTAAAAGGCACTCTGAATTGACTAATTAGTCACAATTACAGATGCCCCTTGGGAACAGTCTGAAGTATTCAGGTCTCGTTTTTAACTTGCCTGATATGTGTTAGAGTTTGTTTTATTTGTTTTTTCATGGGCTGAGGGGGGAAAAAAGAAATATGATTCTGCAACAGTTTGGTCTTTAGCCGAAGGCCAGCTGTTTTGTTGGTTAATACCAGGAAAATATCAAATGAAATAAAAAAAAAGAAAGAAAAATTACCTGAACAACGAAATTTCTTGCTTTTGATCTGGCCAATTCTTTTGTTGGCCAGCCGGCGGGGGCTGGTGCAGCGGGCCCCACTGGTCTCTATGGGGTTGTCATGGAGATAATCCGCCAGCCACTTCAGATGGCAGTCACAAATAAATGGGTTCTGAGCCAAATGCCTTGTAGAGACACACACACACAGAGCAATTTTTACAGGTGATTTGCAACGGACTCAACGTCCCAATCCAGAATGCCACCAAGGGTGACCAAATCGGATCCCGATTCTCTATACGTACATCGTCTTAATGGCCCGCAGAGGTGAAAGGGTGCCCTTAGCGATGGTCTGGAGCTTGTTGTCGTACAAGGAGAGGAGGTTCAAGTTGTGCAGGTCCTGAAAAGCATCTACACGAAGGCAGTTTATCTTGTTGGCATTCAACAATCTGTTCGATCAAACAGTTGCAGGATTAAAGTGCAGCATCTCATTAACTCACCTTCAATAACTCGTCCTTCTTAAGAACACGTTACAGAGCTTTTATGGAGCCCTGGTGGCCTCCTCAGTAGAGAGTTGGGCTGCCAACCCAAAGGTAGATGACTCGAATCTACCAGCTGTTTTCTTCCCCTGCGATTTACCGTCTCTGGTAATCTGCTTGAGGGTCAGCTATGAGATGGTTTCAACTCAACAGCAATGACTCTTAAGTTTAAGAGTACCTGGTCAAATAATACATGTCTTTTAACTCCAATGCTAGTATTTTAACTCTAGTAGTTCCAGACATTACACCATGAGGATATCGTGGCACTTCCAGAAAGAACAAAAGCCATGCAGCCAAAGGTGGGTCTAAAATACGTGCCATTTCCACAATGATTTAATAAAAAGGATTGACAATTCTTCTCTGGAGTGGACGAGATTGTGAGGGTGACACAGGATGGGGCAGTGTTTCATTCTGCTGTGCCTGAGCTGGAGCCAGACAGACATGACCTAACATTAATCATGACCTTCGCTGCCGGGATAAAGATGACAGACAGAGGTGAATGGCATCCAACCACTATGGCCGAGAAGGCAAGAAAGTGCCATGACATTTTTAGTCTCTCAAGTTGGCCAGTGATAGAAGTTCAGTCTATGCTAAAGAAGGCACAGCTAGATCACCTTACAGCTTTTCAAGTGATACACCCACTCTGAGACACCACCATAATCTACATTGACCTACAGGGTCCTTAATCCACCCCGTAAATGTGGAGACCTATTCACTGTCCCCTGTTGATCGTGTCATTTACAACCACATGGGGTTCTTGCTTTTTGTTAAACATGCCAGGCTCTCTTCTCCTTCTGAAATACTTATCCTCTACCTATCTGTGTTTAGTTAATGACTTCATTTCCGGAGCCTTTTAATTTCTTACCTTCTCAAACCAGTCTACTCAGAGTAATGGCTGATATTTTACAAGTAGATCACAAGAAATTCTTCTTCTCTCTTAGTTGAGAACTTCCATGAAAATCTGGTCAGCATCATGGTTATAAACAAAACTCCACTGAAAGATGGGTGGTGGCTCAGTAGGAATGTGTTTTGTTGGTAGGTGCCACTGAGTTGAGTACAACTCATAGCTCATAGCAACTCTATGAACAAAGGGCCTGAACACTCTTCTGTCCTATGCCATTCACTCAGTCTCTGACACACTCAAGCCCATTGCTGTAGTTATTGTGTCAATAAACCTGGCTGGTGGTCTTCCTCTCCTTCACTGTCCCTCCACTTTTCCAAGTATGATGTTTCTGTCCAAGGAACAATCCCTTCTAGCAACATGCCCAGAGTATGTGAGATGAAGGTTCATCATCTTTGCCTCCAAGGAGCATCCTGGCTGCACCTAGCCCAAGACATACTTGTTAATTTGGAAAGAAATGAGATATTCAGCACTCTTCTCCAACACCACACTTCAAAGGCATTAATTGTTCTATCATCCTTATTCACTCAGGAGGCATAGCAAATAACTAAACAACCATGGACTCAATCAGGTGCTCCTTCGTTACCAAACTGACATCACTGCTTCTTAATAATTTGGAGAGGTCCCTAACTACTAGGGTCACTTTCCCAGTTCAATATATCTTTTGATCTGACTTCTAGTACCAGGATGAGTGTAGTGGCTAGGAGAATTGAAGGTAGAATTCAGACTCGGTAGGTAGGTAAGAACCCTGATCCTGAACCCCAAATGCCTTCAAGCTTAGTATACATTAAATGTTTTTGTTTTGGTTTTTTGTTGTTGAAAAAAAGAACTGTTGTTGAATGCATATTTTACAACCTCCATGTACAGTGACATAGAACATACAACCTGCATGTAGATTGACTTGGATCATCACTATATAAATATCTGTCTGTCTTGGTTTAAGATAGTATCCCACAAATTTGATTTATGTTTTTTCAGTACGATGTCTATATACATATTCTGTAAAAGTGGTTTTTAATTTGTGACTTGGCAAATGCTCTTCTTGGTATATAAGTTAGTTGTGACTGAGCTTCCACTCATGCTTTGCTCCCCTCTGGAGTTGTGCTTGCCCTCCTTTTCATTGGTCTCTACTTTTTAATTTTTCAAGGTCTCCCAGAAGTCCCATTTGAATCCTAAACCTATACTACATCCCATCTCGCTAGAGTTTTTCTTCTCTCTGATCCCCAAGTCTTGTCACATAGTATTTTTAAAAATCTATATTGGAGAAGTATCTGAAACTAGGAATAAGAGGGAGATATTTAAAAGGGATATGTGATCAGGTATTATTGTCATGACAGGAGTCCAGAATTAAGGCTGCATAGAGGAGTGGACTTGGGGGACAGGGATTGTATAACAATGAAAGAATTTTACTTTTACTTTTCAAAGAGAAGAGCGAATTGGGGTGGGGGGAGTTTGGGTGGGATGAAAAATGTAACAATGAATGAATGGAAATTCAAAGTCTCTGTAAACTTTCATGAAAATTAATAAAAATTTAAAAAGGGGAACAAAGGAAAAAAATATAGGCAATAGTATTAAAGAATTCAGTGGTATCAATCAAGAAAAAGAACTCAGTTAATAAATCCATAAATTCTAAACAGAAGAACTTTAAGGTAGACCCTAAACCACGTCTCTGGAAACTCTATGAACTTGGAAAAATGACAATAGTTATGGAAAGGCAATAGGTCTTTCGTTTATAGAGTCACTATGAGCTGCGCTTGACTCAACAGCAATCGACAACAATGACAACAACTGTGAACTACTCAGGGATAGAAATTACAACCTGTGCCTTTTTACACATATAGCTTCTAGGCCAGAGTCAGGGACACACAGAAAGTGTTTCATGAATTCAGCAGATCTGGAGGAGCCATTCAATACTAAGGATGGAACGAATAGCAATTTATATTTCCAAATGTCTTTTTCACATAAACATCCATTAAAATACTTGGTGTCAACACTTGCTCTTATAACCATGTATTACAAACCCAAAACTAGTGCTGTGAAGGCAAGTGTGACTCACAGCTGACCCTTCATTAGATTGCCAAGGCCACAAAACTTGGTGGGACGTGATAGTTCATCTTTCTCCTACAGAGAAGATGGTGGCTTTGAACTGCTGATTCTAGTTAACATTCCAATGGCTCAAAATAGTAAGTTAGAGACAAAAGAGCAGTAAATTGAAAGCCACAGTCATCAAATTCATTCCAACTCACAGCAATGCTCTATCGGGTTTCTCAAACTATAAATCCGAATAAGAGGAGCTTGGCATTGTTGTCCCATGGAGCAGTTGGTGGAGGCAAGTCTCCAGAGATACAAGGTCAACTGCATAACATGCTATAGGACTAACTACCAAAGCAATCTTCTAAGATATGGTCCTGGGTTTACAGGACATGCTCTCATTGGGTTAATTTGAGGGGGACTGCTGTGTTATGGCCAACTGGACATTATTTCTGTACTTGGGATGTCATTCTAGTTCTATCATTCCTCAGAGCCTTCTGACAGTACCTAGTAAACATATCCTCACTGTCTCTCTCCTTTCTATCCAATCATAAATCAAAACAGAGACATTTCAGAAAGGGCTGCGATCATAGATGCATCAAATGATTGTGCAGTCAGAGAGCATACCTTCACAAGAGCACAGAGAGAAAGATTTTAAGACGTCCCCAAAGTGTTGCTTTTTCAAATAAATAACCATAATCAGTTTTAGCTCAGCGAGGCTAGTATTTTCTGTTTCAAAGAACATATAACTGTGGTTGAATTTGTATGACTTTTCCACAAAAATAGGAAATGGAACACTGACCAAAATACAATGTTTAGACCCAACAGATCAGAAACAATCTAATACTTACAAAAGCTGTAAGGAAACAAGTCCTTCAAATAAGTTTTTTGGGAGATCTGTGATTTTATTTCCATAGAGGACTCTGCAAAACACAAGTTATAAATT